TACTCAAGACATAATGAAATAAAGAGATACATACCAAAAGAATGTGAAACTGTTCGAACTATTGACTTACTTCTTGTTGAAGACCACTACATGCTAAAACGAAGATTACCAATGACAACAATATTTCATTCGCAAACATTATAGAAATTCTCAAAGCTTGTGTGAATGAACATTGAAAAAACAGATGAAAATATATACAAAGAGTAGAGAACAAATATGTAGTTCGTTATGATAGAACTACACCGCTATGGGTGTTATTAAAACTTGTGGAGTGCAAATAATTTCGAACCTATTTCTTATGGAGAATTTCACATATACGACTGACTTATATAAACAGAACCTTTGCACCATTTTAAAGATTTGACATATGCTCCAAAGTATTTGTTACAACTGAAGAAGAAAGCCGAGTCAAAAGAAAGTAAATAAAAATAAGTGCAAGTTCATTCCTGAGCACGTTTTCTTTGCTGACTTTGAGTGCAGCACAGACGGCTTTCATAAAGCTTTAACATATGTTACGACAGTGAAGATGGTTCAGTGATGTGAAAGCATTTGGGTCAGAACTGTGCAACAGAATTTTTGGAACGACTTCCTGACAAGAGTTTAATATATTTTCATAACCTCAGTTATGATATAAACTTCATCTTAAGACACATGACAGAAGTGAAAGGAACTCCCATCATTAAGGTTTCACGAACAATGCAAATAACTGCTTATATAAAGGAAGGGGCAATTATTATAAAAGACTCTTACAGTGTTATAAATAAGAAACTAAACTATTTCCTGCTATGTTTAACTTACAAACAGGACCGAAAGAAGTATTTCCATATAACTACTACAGCAGTGTTTTGTTAGCAAATGACAACAGAACTGGTGTCATTTCTGAAGCATGTAAGTTTATCCGGGATGCAGATACGGTTCATGAAGAACATAGATTCCATCAAAGGTTGCAGAATAGATGAGAACACTTCGACTTAGAAAAGTATAGCACATTTATTGCAAACAAGATGTAAGAATTTTAAGAGAAGGTTTTGTTAAGTTCCGCAAGACATATTGAAAGAATTTGATTTAAACGTTTATGACTACGTTAGTATTTGTTCTATTGCTAACAAATTGTTTGAGAACAGATGTGTACTTCCCGAATGGAAATTTATATGACCTCTCAAATAAACCAAGAGAATTTATTTCGAGATGCATTCAAGGTGGAAGATGTATGTTGTCAGATAACATTAAACAAAAGAGCGAAAAGAAACTCATTGCTGATTTCGACGCTGTTTCATTATATCCATCCGTATAGCAAGACTTTATACTTAGAAGGTATTCCAAAGGTTATGAAGAAAGAAATGTTAAGCACAGAGTATCTCATGAGACATTTTATCGATGACGACCAAAAGGAACCCATGGTGAAAAGTTTATGTCTGGCTTCTTTGTTCTCATAAGATAACAGAGATTGGAATACATAGACACTTTCCTTTAATAGTTTGTGACCCTGAACTAAATCCAGAACTTAATGTTCCCAGAAATTCAAACACTTGCTGTCTCATGTATGTTGACCATATAACATTACAAGACCTCATAAAATATCAAGGTGTCAAATGTGAAGTGTTGCAAGGATACTATTACGATGGAAACAGAGATATTAGAATAAGAGATGAAGTAAAGAAGTTGTTTTGAGTTAAGGTTAAAGTATAAGAAAGAAGGAAAATCCTTTGCAAGAAATATAAAGCTCATTCTGAACAGTATTTATGGCAAAACTATTCTATCTTCCTATTGAGTCAAAAAATAACCATAGTAAATGACAAAGATGCTATAAGATATGCCATCAGAAACTACAACCATATAGTGAAGTTCGAAGGTTTGGATGGTTCAGATAAAACTATTTTCAAGCTAACGAAAAGTATTTGCAGACACTTTAACTTCTGTCCACTTGGTGTTAATATTCTGTCTATGTCGAAGAGAATAATGTGTGAAGTATTCTGTACTGCTGAAGATATGGGACTTCAAATATTTTACCAGGACTGTGATAGCATGCATATTTTCAATGAAGACATACCAAAGCTTGCAGCAGAGTTTAAGAAGAGATACGGTCGCGAACTTATAGGAAAGAACCTTGGTCAATTTCATTCTGACTTCGCAGAAATAACACCTGGAAAACAAAGTTTAGCTACAAGTCAATATTTTGTGGAAAGAAGACTTACATAGACTTACTCACGAATGATTAAATGAAGTTGCATTTCATGCACGTTGCAAAGGTGTCAAACAAGACGTCCTTGCTTTAACAGCAAATGAAATGTTTCCTGAATCTATACAATGCTATTACAATGAAGATAAGAACATTCACATACCT